TCCACAACCGCATTGAGTGGATACAGAGTAGCGGCTCCCCACCTCGGTTTCCCATTCAACAGTTGGTATATTCAAATGTTTTGAAAGAACACAAGCTACGGTAGCTGATTTTCTTCGTGTGCACCGAGCGTTTAGAAAATATTCAATTGTACATGCACTTGTACCCGCGGCATGTGCGTCGGACTGGCAGTTGAAAATCCAGTCCCATACTACCAAGTCCCTCTAATACTCGTACAGTGTTGTACACGTGTTTGTATACGAAGGTACAGATGGATACCCATGTCTGGACATAATTGTTTTTTTTGTCGAGAAAACGCGTGTGCAAACACCCTACCTGCAATATCGACTATAACCCACCTCTATATTTGTGCACATATACGAAAACATAAGTAGGTAGGTAGGTAGGTAGCTGGTAATCGCCCACGTTGTCGTCTCAGCTGCATACCTATATCCTTTTTTCTCCCCCATTACGGCGCAACTATATGCGTCCGAGCCATAAATCATGCAACAGCCAACGACACCCCGCATACCAGATGGTTTCATTATTATTTTTGTGCCAGATCAACGTACTGTATAGGTAGTCTTTTGGAGATGCCATGCAAATGAGGGCACACGAGGTGTCGGAAAAATAATGGGAATACCTATACCTGTCTGCCATTGCTGCGCTACGCGGAGTTCATTTCAGGGAAATTTCGCGCGAAAGTGCAATAATACCGAGAGGTAGCGATACAACATTAGTTCTGTACATTTATATAATTATACGTATACGTAAAAAAAACAGGTGTAGGTGCGGATATATATAGTATACGCACATATACGGGTGTTTTATAATTACCATTTTCCGAGGCGCCGACCTTCATCGCCGCGCGTAGGAGAGGATGCGCCCGTAAAACTTTTCATTTCGCTCGCTATGCGGCTATTACCGCTTTCTTTCTCATTGCCACATAATAATAATAATAACAATAATGTATATTACACACACACGTGTGCCCATTAACGGGGGGAGCAATCGGTGTGGCTGTAGGAAAAAGGTATATATCTATGTATGTATGTATTAGGCGAGCAACGGCCTTGTTAGGCTCGCACGCACGCACAGCCTTTGAGAAACGCGGAAGCCACACGATCCTCGGGGCGCGATAACGCGATTCATTCATTCATTCCCCGTTTTTCGGGGTATATATACATAATATAAATCTTCCGCGGTGAGAAGAAAAGTGAAAAGCTATATGTATATACCGAAGCCCTCGCGTGCAAGTATACTTATATATACATGTGGATGCTTCTCCTTGTTTTTACTGCCGCGCTTTTTTTGCCCGTACATAATATATATATGCTCGTTTCGTCGCGCACGCGATGAGCGCTAATTACACACTGCAGCCGCGCTTGGCCGACGCGGGAGAGGCGTCATCATATATACACAAGCTTGTTTAGAGAAAGACAGATAGACAGCAAAAGAGAGGGAGTGAGAGATAACAGCTACAGGGGGAGAGTACGCGACGCGCGCCGACAGCGCCGGAGGGAGGCAGAGGCTGTTGCAACCTCTGTACACGGGGGTATATATATATATATATGGGTACATCAAATAAACTTGGGGACACTCGAAGAATCAGCGAACGAAGGTGTATATATGTATAAAAGTGTATGTATGGNTACGATTGAAAGAAAAAACAACCCAATGAATATATACACACACACATGAGCGACAATGAAGCATCAAAGTAAATTAAACATGTAATGTGCATGTATCCAATCATCATCGTCGCATCTTTCCTTTCGGTGCAGTACATATATATATATATATATATATATATATATATCGCGACGCTGCCTTTATCCCGTGCGAATCTCTGTCCCTCGGTGTAATAACTATGCAGCGAGAGAGGAGATCGGCTGGGCAAAATGTGAATCCGAGTGGAAGGTTTTTTTCACCTCACCCATCCACGGACGGAGGTAAAATATAAACACCGAGACTATTTCATACTCGATCATTTACAAGTGTAAACGTAGACTCGCTCTTGCAGTCTGGGTGTATATATTGTACTGTGCGAAGAAACAAAAAAAATCGAATCGCGGATTGAGACAGCATACTTAGAGGACATGTAGGGGCAGAGCGCAATTAACGCGGCGACGACGCGCGAGTTACCGAGAAGTTGGGTAAGTATATATTATGCTTGTACACACGCGCCTTGAAAACGAATGGGCGAGCAATTAAGCGCGAAAAAAAAAGGCGAACGGGAGCAGCTCGTATATATATATATATATATATGCACGCGTACACGAAAATAGACTTGGAATTTTAAGAATGGCCCTTGAAGAGGGGGATAAAACAGCTGCGCTCGCGAGTTTATGTGTATACAACACAAGTTGTAGGTATACAGTTGGGAGGAGAGAGGAAACAAATTGAGCGAGTTCCTGCACTTTACGGGCATTGATGTGCGTAGGTAATAATATATACACACGTGTGTACTACACTGTGAGCCCATGCAGCGATAACACACTACGAGCGGGTTCGCAGCCGATGTGACTTTTATTGGGCTGCTGTTCGACTATGGGCTCATGGGGCGCGTCTGCCTCTCTGGTTGCGTTTTAATGCCCCAACGTAAACTCGGAAATGTACATCCAACGCGATACCATCCGCGGATGTTTTTACACGAGGGCGAGCGTATACGTTTGTTTTTCTTACGTCAGTCCGATCTTCGAAGTTTGAGGTGGAAGTAAAGCTATACACGTATACGTGTTTACGTGATGATGAACTTTGTTCGAAGTGGTGCAACAAGTGAACTATGTATAATTTTTTGCACTTGGCGAGAGAGAAACGTATGTATAAGATATGGAACGAACTTGATCGCTGCACGCGCGGCCGCTCGCGGGAAAGCGCGTAACACTGGGGTACTTTGGCAACTTCGCGAGGCCCACTTTTTGCGGTGAGGAGCGCGGCAGCCTATATATATACTGTTACAAAAAACAACTTTGGCGAAAGTTAATCAGCCCGCGAGAGAGAAAAAAAAAAAAAAAAAAAAGACTCGGAGGGGTTAACGGACGCGTTGTGCAAGCAAAACGAAAAAAAAAGCCCTCTTCTTTGGTTTCATGGGGGCGAGCAAAGCTTATGGTCCCTCCTCGTGTGCATCCTTATACCTCATCCCCTTCGAAGCGCCAACACCGAAATTCCCCCAAATCGGTATAAGTACAACACGAGCTGCAAACTCGCTTGACCCCGTGTGCACATGTACGTCTGGGGGAACATCCCCTTTTCGTCGGCTGTACTCTTACTAGTTTTCCCCCTCGCCTTCCGTGAAAACGACAGTCTCTCGGCAAGTGCAGCTCTCTCGCTGTACACAACACACGCTTTCACGGATATATAATACATACTCTCGCGTCCGCTGTATACGTATATATACATTATCGTAATCGATAAACTGCAGTGTAAATTCACCGTGTGTGCCATTGGCCGATATAATGATATATATCTATACACTTATACTTCATTATGCACGTGCACGCGCGGCGCTAAAATTTTGTGTTACAGGCGCTAATGAACGTATTAATATCAGATCATACATGCCCCCTCCCACCCCGTACTCGTGGTATTAATTTACAACTGGATTTGCTTTTCCAATTAAGTTCCCAATGCTCCGTTGTGTATACATATAGGCCGCACACGTTTAAGCTCGTTACAATATAATTACGTCAAACCCGCGTAATTGCACGGCGATCCCGGTCACATATATATATATATATATGTAGATAAATCGATTACAAAGCGGGCGCGTGTACNCACGAGAGACGACACATCCTCTCGCGCGCACACACAGATGGTAGAGCGAGAGATAGCGGAGCGGTGGTAGCTGGGAAAGGAACGCAACGGCTCGTTCGGCTCTGGTAAGTCTGCCTCGTCTTCTTCTTCTTTTTCTACCCGTCTCCTCCTCCTCCTCCTTCTTCTTCCCTTAGATTTTTGCTCGCGATTAAACGAGAACGAAAAGCCAGAGGAGGAGCAAAGTCCGCGGCGACGACGGGGCAGCGGCAGCCGAGAGCTCTCCGCAAGTGTATTATATATGCTTACCGATATTATACATGTATTCTTTTTTGCTGATCTCCTCTCGACGACGACGACGAGACGCAGGGGTATATATTATACATGGGTGTAAAAACAAGGACGACTGGGACGACGATTCGAGAGAAACAAAGGGGGGGGAGAAATAAGTAGGATGGCACATCGCACAAGAGGGGCTATATAGAGACAGAGAACTGCACATAGCAGTGGCGGTCTTTTTATGGGCAATATAAGCCGAGGGGGTCCTTCACCAACTCCAAATCTTCCTCTAAATGTACCGCGCAGCAGCATCACGTGCACACCATCGGAATCGCCCATACACGTACTTGATTTAATATATCGGTGGAGGAGCAGCTATATACATGGGCGTGCATGGTGTGCGTGGGTGGCGCGCTTATAAATATATATATGTATAAAATACAGCTCCCTTTCGTTGCCCCTGCGCGTCCTTATACGGCTGTGTGTTGGTAGCGTGTACATCATATACATGTATACACCAGACGCCGGGGTTCCACGGGGAGGGGGACGGGGAAGGCAGAGCGGCGGCGCGCCGGAGAGAAAAGGAGCGCGCTAACTCTCGCGTGTATAGTTTCTCGGCACCGAGAGCCATAGGCAGGACCGGAGCCCACGAACGCCGGCTTCTTCCTCGGTAGTACGGGGCCGACGAGCGGACCGGCTGCACCTGCTTCTTCGCTCTCTGTGCGCTATACCTCACCATCTCCGTATGATAAAAAAAAATTACCATTTGTACTCTGCCGCTGATGTAAAAAGTTGTTCCCTTTTATTTTCTGTTGTTTTTTTTTGAGAGAGGAAAAAAAAAAAGAAAAAAAAAAAAAAAAAAAAAAAAATTTATTGCGATTTTTCAATCTCACCGATGATNTAGAAGAAAGTGGGGTACAATTTATTAAAGAAAAAGTAAAGAAAAAGAAAGGAAAAAAAAAAAGAAAAAAAAAAAAAAAGAAAAAAGTCAACGAGTGACCGAGTCGGGAGTGCGGTGATCGACAAAATCGCTCGGCATGGGATTTGGTGCGTGCCGTCCGTGACTTTGGCAACACACAGTGGCGCGCTCCTGCAACATATTTTACACGTATATACACCCGTGAAACCCAGAGTGTCGGTGGTTCTCGTTTTTCTGAGTCCCCGCCGGGATATCGGCGATCCCTGTTCTCCTTCGCGCGCTTTGTTCGTCCCCCCTTCTCTCGCTCCTCTTGGCCCCGGTTTTTTCCCCCTTTTCGCCCCTTTCGCGTTGCATTTTATTCTCCTCCCTCCGTCGCAATATACAAAAATTGGTTCCATCGATTTAGCGCGGCATAAAAATATACCTTATATATATATATGCCGCGGTGCAACGACTTTTGCCGCAGTGCTTGAGCGCTCTATGAAAGTTTGGGCGTCGAGTCGAAAGAGTGCCGTGATGTAACAGCGAGGACGTGCAATTAATGAAATGGTATAAAGATCAAGTGACTCTGGGATCGGAAGAAGCGCATATACGCGGTGTGCGCGGCGTCAAGGAGCCGCGACCAACTGCTGCAGAGACAGACAGTCGGAGGCGAGATAGACTGCACACGAGAGACGACACATCCTCTCGCGCGCACACACAGATGGTAGAGCGAGAGATAGCGGAGCGGTGGTAGCTGGGAAAGGAACGCAACGGCTCGTTCGGCTCTGGTAAGTCTGCCTCGTCTTCTTCTTCTTTTTCTACCCGTCTCCTCCTCCTCCTCCTTCTTCTTCCCTTAGATTTTTGCTCGCGATTAAACGAGAACGAAAAGCCAGAGGAGGAGCAAAGTCCGCGGCGACGACGGGGCAGCGGCAGCCGAGAGCTCTCCGCAAGTGTATTATATATGCTTACCGATATATATATATATATATATATATATACAGTGCCAACAGAAACTGCCGGCTGCACTGCATACACATATATATGTATATATAAAACAAGTTGTGTATATATATTATATATACGCTGCAAAGTGCAGTTCGTGAGTTTTATATGCGCGCATATATATGCACCACTATACGTGTGTGTGTCTATTATATACGCGGGCAGTAGGTATTATAGTCCCTGCCGACGCGTCGCGAGTCGCGAGATATTCAAACAAGGCGGTCTCTCCCTCCGCATGGATGTACACGCGAGTATCTCCTCCTTCGCAGATTTATTGCCGCTCTTTGCTCATAGACGTTTCATTTGCATGTATAATCTTTTTTTTTTTTTTTTTTTTTTCTTTTCCTTGCGTTGGGAAACAATCTATTATTAGACGCGCTGATGCAGCAGCCTCCGTGCCCCCCCCCCCCTCCTCTCTGTTCAATTAATAGGACGCGTTTTCGCCGTGACTTGTGTTACACTGAGTTTTATTGACAGAAGGTACAAGTGAGACTCGAGTATCCATGGGACGTGAAATAAATTTGTACACAGATCACGTTGATACAAGCGCGGTGTATTAGCGATCCAAGCGTTCGGCAGAGCCACGAGGAGTTTCCGCATCCGCGGGTCCTTGAACGGTCACAGCGTACAGCTATCAAAAACAACGTGTATAACAATACACTGCACGTATGGACGTACATATACATGCGAGTTCAGTAGCCGTGGCGAAGGCCACGCGAATAAAAGTCTCGAGTGGTGGAATACTCCACGGGCGTGTAACGTATATTATAATGTTGTAGGGATGACCGTGCTACCATACGCGCAATACTGGCACACAAGCAGGAATTTATTTTATTTTTTACAGTAACAGAACTATACCGGCGTTCGCAAAAAAAAACAAAGCGCGGGGTGATTTCCTTCGTACGCACTCGAGCGAGCGATTGCAGAGTGTAATATACGTGCGCGTTGTGTGTGCCGGTGTTGCGTCACGGCGCTTGCTCGGTAAGGAAGTATTATTACGCGACCGGGCCACTGCAACACAATAATACACGGAGGAAGGTCGATCGCGTAATTGACTATCCGCTCGTATATACTCCGAACCAACGTGATATCGTGTAGCGCTGCTTTTAGCGATTCGCGTCGGATATGCAAGTGGACCCCCAGTAACTCGCTGCCGGTTGGCGCATTATATCAGACACGGGCATCACTGTCAAATTCACGTGGTCGTGAGCCACACTATATATAAATGCGGTGCATCTTTGTTGTCGGCCGAAAGGCGGCGATCGGCCAGCTAACCGATCGGCGCCTCGGAGGCTCCACCGGTGGCCTACTTTCGCGTCGCGTCCACGATTCGCGCTCTCTGCTGCTGATGGCCGGGTCGGTGTGAACACAACCCGCGCACGCGATACACGCGAATCCATAAATCCACGATCCCCCCCCCCCCCCCCGTGCGAACCAATTAATATTGTAAGCGTACGCAGCTTGTGTAATCGATTAGCGCCTCTCGGGCGATGTTGTTACCACCGCTAAAGGCCATTGCATGAAACTGGAACCACGCGTCCGTGATTTCTCGTGAAAGTTCGAACAACATGTATTTATATATACAAGGTACATGCAATTCGGCACAAACGCCCAAAATGTATATTACGTATTGCATAATACTGTATATACGATAATTATAATATCCACCCACGCGAGCGATGTCCGTGATATATGGCATGGTCCAACCGAAACATGTACATGTATATACATATATGTACGTGCAATTTAACATCAATTATATATATGTACATATAAATCCCGCGTCCATGTTCAAGGCTCTAATTGAATTACGCGATTACGCGTGTACGTGTCGTTGAGCCGTATACACACGGCAGTGTGCAACCGAACAGCGACGTTGCGTGTCCAGCAAACGGGATTTCTTGGCACTCACTTAATAATGTGTATCTATATATACATAGGTAGTAGTGCAACAACGGCAACACGCGTAAGCGTCTCGGGCGGTGATGTGCAGTGCCGTAAATTGTGCGTATATACGAGCAGCCACGACGATGCGGTTGCGTCGACAAATGCGCACCAGCGGCTCGAAAATTTTTTTTCAACGCCTCGTCGGAGGAGGTGAGGTCGTGATTAGCGGTTAGCCCGTCGTCGTCCTCCTCTATCGGGAAAAGCAGCGGCTGTTGTGGTGGCGAGAGAGAAAGAAAAAAAAAAAACGGCTAATGGAGAGCTAATGGTGCAGCTCTTTCGTGCACATGTGTGTCACACTGCACGCGCGGTACACGAAAAATAAGAGGAAAAAAAAAAAAAAGAAAAAGAAAAACGGGACGCGACAAACAACGTATACGCCGGGAGAGCGCGCTTTTTTCCTTTCGATTAAATACGCGATGTGTACGGAGATGGGTGTGAAGCTCATTCGAAAATTTCCCGGTACATACTTTCTTCTTCTCCTCCTCTCCCCCGTAAATGGACAACGAAAGCGGTGTCTTAATGACCATCGTTTTTTTTTTCATCTCTTGGTCGATGGTTAAATCGCGCGTGGGAGTAGCGCGCTAAAAAAAAAACAAACAAAAAAATGGTCCCTGTACCAGAGCTCGGATGGACACGACACGGGGCAATAAACAACATGAAATTTATGCGGGTAATAATATACGCTGCTTTCCTTGATCTCCACGAGGCCCGGATCAATCGATCGGCCGATTGTTCACGTATATTTAGCACTTGGAGATGATATATTTCCATCTGTGTCAGCTGCCATATAGTTTATCGCTTACAAAGTGGGTTTCAAAACTCGAGTTGATGCTTTCAAGTGCACTCGGGGGCTCACCTGTACGCGCATACACATCGGTTTTCTATTTAATGCCCCGAGATCGATATATATATATATATATGTACGCAGCTCGCGCTCGCTCGTGTGGCCATTAATCATTCTAATGGCACTATTAGATAGAACGATTTAATGAAAACGCTGCTCGACATTTTAATAAATATGAGGAGATCTCGTACACTTGCATGTATATATAGGAAGAGGTGTCAGTGGGGGAAAATCATCCCCAACTCACCCGTAAGTACTCGTATACGTATACGATTGAAAGAAAAAACAACCCAATGAATATATACACACACACATGAGCGACAATGAAGCATCAAAGTAAATTAAACATGTAATGTGCATGTATCCAATCATCATCGTCGCATCTTTCCTTTCGGTGCAGTACATATATATATATATATATATATATAATACTGTAGACGTAAGATGCATGTATACACCCAATGGGTCTGATAGAAGTCGAAGGAGGCTAATGGTCGGTCGATCAACTACTTTTGCGACTCGCCGGCGTAATTTCTCTCCTTCTCCTACGCTCGGGACCAACGTACACATACAATATAGTCCCACTGCGGCTCTTTATCCGTGTATCCATACGCCGGTGCCTTCCACTCGTCGGAGGAAAGGAAATTGAGGAGGAGGAGGAGGCGCGTTTAACTATATAGAGAGAACGCGTGTATATATGAAAGTATTTACGTATATTCAGTGGCGCAAGAGCGCCACGAGGCCAGTTTAAGCAGATGATACGCGCTTGCCGCGTCGGTATACGTATAGTATATACGAGCTCCAGTTGTTGGGACGTATACGTACACGAGCAAGTTGAGTGTTTTTTTTTTCTCTTTTTTTTTTAACAGCTATGAACCAGGGATATAGGTACGTTTCGATCGTGCGCGTGTAACATTACGCGAGGCCGGACTTTGATTTCAAACGTTATTACATTACTGTGCGCGAGAGTGACACCGTTATTTTGTGTGTGTGCCGTAAACCAGAAACGGTGCGCGTGAGAGAGTGTTTTTTTTTTCTTATACCTCGGGAAAGTTTTTTACCTCCAGTGAATTCGAGGTCACGTGGAAATGTAAATACTAATCAAACGAATCGTTGAATAACCGTGGCGATTAACCGCGGGAAATTGTTAACGACTACCGCCGGGGCCGGTGTATCGCCAACTTCGCGGGGAAAAAGCGGACTACAGGAATATCGGCGGGTCTACATTTTTCAGGTAAACGATCAAACGATAATGGACACCTTTTTTTTTTTTTTTTTTATCTTTTACCTAAACCAAAACTGACTCAGGTAGAGAGTGTTAAGGTTTCTCGATTGGCAAAGTGAAGTCATAAAGGTTGATGCATTTTTAAATTGTTTAATCACGAATTATACTACAGAACAATACAAAATTTAACGAGCATATATGCCTCTTTGTCAGTTATTATACTTGTGTGGAAAAACAACTAAAACTATGTCTCATGTTTCTCAATGGACCCCAGACCAACTTGACGGAAATTAAAATTATTTTTTTTTATACACTCTTCTCTATTGAGAAACTTACTTTTCGGAAACACGCGGCTTTAAAATATTTATCCCCCCAATGCATATCAGCGTTGAAATAAATGGTTTCAGGAACGATTGTCACTGTGGTGTATTGCAACAGTATATACCCTATAATTGACATGTCAAGAATAGTTACCTTTGCGCGATAAGAAGCTTAAAAGTTCCAAGTAAATGTTTCAGCAATTTATCTTAATGGACAAAAGAAAAGACTCGGCACTTATCACTGCCAGATAGAGCAAACGAATGCACTGTGAAATTACATTGACGCAGTTGTGGGGAGCGGAAGTAAAGAGTGCGCCTACATGATTGCACGTATGCGGTTATTGTTGACTTAAGCTTTACATAATTTGCTTTCATTATATGAGTAAATAATTTAACTTACCATTGAGGGCATGATGTTGTCACTTTGAGCTCGCACAGGCACGTAGAAAA